CAGCACTCTTTATCATAATATCATTTGTTATAAGACACAGTACAACTGCAAAGGGGAAACATAACGAGAATATTGGATTGGTACTCTATATGTGGACAGGGCACATAAGGCACACCATGCTGAATAAACATCCTCTTTAGTTGGTACTCTATATGTGGAATTTTCATTACAGTGAACATAAGGCACACAGCTGAAATAAACATCCTCTTTAGTCTAGAGCATAAGAAGATCTTGACAGGAATATATTACCAATGTGTTCTCCAACACGGCTAATTAGTTATTGTAACAGCCTTTTACTTTTTGTTTGGATAAATTATACTATCAACATTTTACTGTTATTTGACATATGAATATTTTCTTATAACTTTGTCAAACATCACATGCACAGTTATTCTTGCTTAGAATCTCAACTGCTGTGACCAATTCCTGTCTGCTCCCTGAATATTATAACGGAATCCTCTAAGCAGTGTAAGCATAGTAAATTGCCAATCTTATTAACACTGAAAGACAAATCTGTACCGGTTATTATTTCTGTTGAAATGATTCACATCTGTTTTTCTCTCCTTTTATGGTTTCACTTATTTTTAGATTATATTTTTCCTTTGAATACTTAATAACTGAAATTACTGTGTTGTAGGTTGGTGTGGTAGATGAGCCAGATAGAACAGCTTTAACCGAATCATGGAAATCATGGATGGAAGAGCATATTGCAGCCACCGGAAAGGTACCACCGGGTAACGAACCAGGAAACTCAACATGGGTACGTCAGCCACCAAAGAAGAAGACTGATCTGAGGTTAACACCTGGTCGTCATGTGCAATTGACAGTGCCCTTGGAGGACCTCATTGACCGGCTTGTGAAGGAAAACAAGGTGATTGCTTTCATAAAAGGGTCAAGAAGTGCACCACAATGTGGATTTTCACAGAGGGTGGTTGCCATGCTTGAAAGTGAAGGTGTCGATTATGAAAGTGTTGATGTCCTTGATGAAGAGTACAACTACGGATTGAGAGAGACGTTGAAGAACTATAGTAACTGGCCTACATTTCCACAAATTTTTGTGAAGGGTGAGTTGGTTGGTGGGTGTGATATCTTGACCTCGATGTACGAGAAGGGTGAACTTACCAACTTGTTCAAAAGCTAAATGTTCAATTAGCAGTAAAGAATGTAGCTTTATTGTAAGAGTTGACATGAGATATATATGTCATTGCACTAAATTCACTCATCAGTGTATCTGGTGGTCTGGAAATAGTGGAGTAGTTGGAAAAGGAATTCATTGTTTCTGTGTATAAGAGAACTTTGTTATAACTAGCAACTTGGAAATTTTGGGGTTTTTTTGTCATAAAGAACTCCTATATGGATCTTCATGTTCTCTGTTGATGTACTTGAAAATGTATTGGATAACGAAAACAGACAATGGCAGGACTTACACAAGATGGAGAGTGCCCTCTCTAGATTCTTTTTGAATAATTTTCGTGATGGCATTTGTCAAGAAAGCTGCAGATGGAATTATCTTACTGTAAAATGTTTCTTCCTTATATTTTCCAATAAGTGGCGCCTATATTGTTAACAGGGGCATCCCATCTTCTGTCCAGCATAGTGGATTTGAATCTCGCGGTGTAAGCAATATAGTAAGTAGAATATATAAGAGATTCCAAGCAGATATTGTCCATCTTTTATTAAGTAGAAAGTTGTCATTTTCCCTTTCAAGTGCATCTAGTGTGTTGATTTTTTTTTTTTTTTTACTGACTTCCTTTTCACAAAGTTGAGTAAGCTTTGACCATTGTGCAGATTTCACTTTCCCCTTAGTGGCGGAGCTAAGCTCCCTTCATCCGGCATTATACTATGTAAATAGGGGCATACACTGGTTTTTTGTCTGCTTGATATAAGAGAAGCTTTAAAATGTAGTGGTAAAGGGGTTGAAAAATTACCACTGCCTTTATTAAGTGGCGGAGCTAAATTCAATAAAAATTATATTGTGTAAATAGGATTTAATTGAAGAATGACTGGTGAGTTGGAAGCCGATTGTGGGAATATATTCAGCTAGTTTTACTTCTTTACTCTCCTAATAATACATGGCAAATGCAAGTGGCTAGAAAAATGACAAGCAGATGAGGACAAAAGGTCATGGATTTGAAGCGCGTTCTTGTCCTTTGGCTCTACATAATAAATTGAAATGAAAACCACCGATTTAAATCCCCACCACTCACCAAACATAGGCGGTTTGGCCTCCGGAATTATGTTTTCTCTGTAAATAGGGTATAAATTTAATCGGTTTGGTCTATCTGGATCTTTGAAATCGATCGAGAAAAAATATTACGTAATTATTATGATAACTTGAAAAAGAAGCATAAAATTCAACTGGATTATGCATTTTATATAAGAAAAAAGACGCGTTATCAATTTAATTTGGATACTCAAGCCAAAAACTTATACTAATAAGCACTCTAAACATTAAAATCGAAGCAAGTTTATGGACATTTTTCAATTTACTATTTTTCAATGAAAATTAACTCATTCAATATTATATACAATTATCCTACTTTAGAGCAATCTGACAATAAAATAAACTTTCATCCTTGATTAGAACAATAACTTATTCAAGGATTTCTATTTTTTTTGTTTCTGCAAATAGATTTATCGGAATTGTGTTTCTGGGAAAAAAAAATATCGTCTATTGATAAATCATGGAGGATAAATCATGGAGGAGTTGAGAAAACGCAACAGTATTAGATTCTTGAAAGAAAAATATTTTTATATTTTATGTTTAATGTTTAAAGAAAAAAAAAGGAGAAACGAAATTTTAAAATAAACTAATAAAGAAAGAAAAAGTCAATAGCAACTACTAATAAACAAAAAAGAGCAATTAAGGAAAGAGAAAAAATAAATAAAGGAGTAAACCTCCTTCTATATTTATAGAAGTCTAAAATGCACCAAACAAAACTCCTGCGTGAAGTGTGCTAGATGGGATCTCACGCCACTAAGGTGGAATGATAGCGCACTGCTAGTGGCACCTTCATTAAATGAGGGTGCCACTGAAAATATTTGTACCATTTCTTTTCTATATATATACATGTATGTATATATACTATTATATAGTCTCGATCAAAGTTTGCGGGTGGCGTATCACCCTATTCCTTACACATAGATTCATCCTGAGAACAATATGACATTTACCGCCCATCACACGCGCATAATCTAAACTTCAAGCTTCACATTTTAGTCTCCAGCCTTTATCTAAGCCGAATATTTCTCACCAAAATTGTTGTTAATTAAATGTTTGACACTCTTAGAATATGAAATACAATATTTCTTAATAATTCAAGCCTCCCGCAATGTTCCATTTAGTTTTTCGGATGCTTCTCAGATGTTCAACATGAATGGGGTGCACAACATCCCTGCAGAGGTGGTTCACTAATAGATCGAAGGATAAGTCATTCGATAATAGACCGAGAGATAAGTCATTCGACTCTCGCAATGTTTCTTTTTATTTTTTCAGATGCTTTTCTGAAGTTCAATGGGTCTACAGAGACGATTCAAAAAATATTAAAATGTTATATTTCGGATTTTAACCTGTGATCTAAAATAATTTTTGAAACCCCTTGCTTGTATACTAAAATCTTCTCTTATGTCAAGGGGATTCAACAGTTTATATATAACTAAAATAATTTATTTTTATCTTGTCTATATACCGTATAATTTTTCCACTTCCTTTTAACTCTAAAATAATGTCTGCATAACTAACACGCGTGTTTTAGTTATCTTCAGCTTCTAACTCTTTCCTGTGTATAGTGTCCATGAACCTAATTGATCCATGTGTTCCTTTGTCAATCATCAAAACCTAAACCGCTCATGTCAACAGAGATCCGATTGAACCCCTTGGCTCTTAAATAAGTGCTGCCTGCATAATTGACACTCGTGTAGTCAATCCGATAGCAACGTTACGGGTGCCAAAACATTGCACGAAGACAGCCCATAATATAATTCTCATGCTTTATTTCCTTCTCAACTGATATTTTCCCCTAGTCTAGAAGAATCAAGAAAATTCTTCACCACCGAGCAACATACATACAAATCCTCGGTATAACATCAACTAAAATAAAAAAATAAGAACTTAGAAATCCGTGCCACCGACTTCCTTATAGGACATGTTTAAAAGACCACTTTGGCTTTGCCTCTTAATTTCGTCACCTAAAAATAGAACTTTTTTGATCTCATCTTATGAAGCCAAGTAGGATATTCTTCTTATTGCCTAGCGTCAGGGGTGGAGCTACCTTAAAATCAAGGGGTTCAAATAATACCGCTTGCTAAAAAAATTCACTTATTATGTAATGCATACTACAAGCTGAAAATAAGCATAACCGTCGAATTTTCTTGAACTGAAACAGAAGCTTGATTTAGCTTATTTCTATAAAAGTTAGATTCTTCTTAATGAAAATTTTGACTTCGCCACACTGCTAGTGTACAGTGGGGGATCCAAGATTTTGAATTCGTGGGTGCTTAATTTTTTTTGACGTGAAGTTATTACTATACACATCGTATAAGTGTACAACTATTTAAATACAGAGATAAGAAAATTAATGAGAAAATCATAATATTAATATTACGGACGCCGTAAAATTGTGAAGCGAGAAAAAAGATTAGTGAATTTTGCTGCTTTGGAGGAACTCTATTTTTTTAAAGAAAATTTTCTTTTTCTTTCTTCGCTATAGTGAATTGGATAAAGTAAAAAAAAGGAAAAGTTAAAAAAGAAATAGGAAAGAAGGTAAAACAAATTCAGAAGCAAAAGAATAAAAGTAGTAGTGTTGGCTCAAAAAAGAGTGAGATAGTGCTTGATAAAATGGTTGAGAAAAAGACACTTACTAAAGAGATTCGATCTCCCAACCTTTGACATATGTAGCACTCCAGCACCCACCGTAAAACCAAAGCACTCCTATTTGTTAGCTGGGTGCTTACTGTTTTTATATACATATGTTTTCTTAAATTTTCAATATAACTATACATACTCCGCATCGAGGTTAATGGGTGCTCGCGCACCCAATTTTTAAATATAAATCCGCTCCTGCTAGTATACCTCTTTCGACCCCTTACTTGATACTTCCTTTTCATCTAGAGATTTCCAGGGAATTCTTTCTTTACAACCGAGCAACACACCAGGCCAACAACAAAAAGAAAAAAATATAGGGATTCATTTCAATCCTCACTAAAATACAAACCCCTTTTCATCAATTTTTGTATATTTATTGTAACCAAATTCCCTCTTTATTACACCCTACACTATCTCTCTCTCTTTCATCACTGTCACCACTTTCTTTCTATTCTTCTATTCTCTGCTTCTTCTGTTTCTTTTTTTTACATTTCTTCTTAGAACTCAGGAAAAAAAACAAATATGGCGCCACCTGGCTCATTTGGAAACAGCATCACTGTTGATTCATTTGAGGCTTTTCTTCAAGGCTGGTTATTACGCCAAGAACAATTCTTGAATGAACTTATAATAGCACAAAACACATATGATGAATCACAAGAGGGTATTATTAAAAACCTTATTTCTGGTGTCCTAGTTCATTATCAAGAATACTTTGAAGAAAAATCAAGAATGTCTCATAGAAATGTATTCCACGTCTTTTCTCCTGCATGGTTTACTCCATTAGAAAAAAGTTACTTATGGATTGCAGGGTTCAAACCGGGTTTAGCTTTTTCCTTGGTAATGAATTCTGTAGATGATTTGAGTGAAAATCAAGTTGAGAGAATTAATAGGCTGAAATTTGAAACAAGGGTTCAAGAGAAGAATCTTATGGATGAGTTGGCCAAAATACAAGAAAGTGTGGCAGCCCCTCCGTTTATAGGACTAGCACAACAGTTCGGCGCAGAACTCCTCAAAGGTATTGAATTGTATGACTATCTAATATAAAAGTAACTTTTTTTTATATAAAGCATATTTTGGCGTAACTGGTAAAGTTATGACCAGGAGGTTAGGGGCTGACAATAGCTTCCCGCAAAAATACAGGATAAGGCTGCGTACAATAGATCCTTGTGGTCTGCCTCTTTCCGAACCCCGCACATTGCATAAGCTTATTTTACCGGTCGGCCTTTTTTTGTTACTTTGGTCCTTCCTAAATATTGTTATACCCAAACTAAATTGGTTGAAAATAAATTTTGTTTTAAGAAACCATTAACTATTTTTTCTCAAAAGTATTTTTTCTTTAATAAATGATTTATACTATCTTTTATAAAAAACAATTTAAAAATTATTACTCATTTCTCAAAAGCCTGATTTCCTTTTTCCGTACCAAATACAAAATATTATTTTGCTTGTTGGATGACCCTAAAGTTTGAACCTAGAACATTTTGTCCACTCTAATTTCATGTTGTAATGCGCGATCATTTTATTTAAAAGTTTAAGCGATTAAAAAGAGTCATCTTAATTATTTAATTAAATTATGTCATAACAGGGGAAGGTGGAGAAATAAGAGAAGTGGATGAAAATATAGAGACACTGAGATCAGCTCTAGAAAATGTGATAAAAGATGCAGATAGATTAAGGACAAGAACAACAGAGAGGGTGGTGGGGATATTAAATCCTTTGCAGAGTTTGAGGTTTTTGACAGCAACAGCACAACTTCAGTTGAGAATAAGGATGTTGGGAACGCAGAGAGACAGATGGTCAGTAGATTTGTAATTCACTTTTTTTTTGGTTAATTCGTGAAGACTGAATCATGAATTAGTTAGAGGTTTTGTGTTAGTTTAGAGACTTGTTTGATAATATTTGTAAGATAAAGATTTTATTTGTTATATCAATATTAGGCTTATGTTGTAATAGTAGGCTTTGTCTCACTGACACTTCAAATTGTTGTTAGGTTTGTGTCGAATTCTCGAAAATAATGTATCTTTGAAGAATTCGACAAGAATGCAATAACATTTTTAAAATGTTCAAGCAATATAGGTAGAAATTACTCGGGTGAATGGTAAATATAAGAGGTTACTTTCTTTCTTTTTATCTTTGGGATGTGTTTTTATTGACTCTATTTGTCTTTTTTCATAAGAGCATTTGAAGGTATTGGGATTGGCTTAAAAGCTGGTCAAACTAACTTAAAAATATTTTTGGGCTTATTTGAGTGTTTGGATAAATCATAAAAGTGCTTTTAAGCTAAATACTTTTAAGCTAAAATACCCAAAACAAGCCAAAAACAATAAGTTAGGCCACCCTAGGGATGGCAAATGGGTGGGTTGGGCTGAATTTATGCGCGTCAAGATGGGTTAGGTCAATAAATGAGTCATTGCCCAACCCAGCCCAAAGTGTACTTGGCTAAGATGGGCTGGGTCAAAATGGGCTAAACAATATGTCATAACCCAACCCGCCCAACTTGACCCATATTTTAGAACCATGCTCATCTTGCATAAAAAAGATGGGTTCAGTTTATCCTGAACTCGTTGCCTCCTGAGTATGGACCTTTTCAAATTAACTATAACACTATTAAGGATAAGTGGAATGTTAGTGAATTGTCCAGCATGCTTACTAAGGAGGAGTCAAGACTTAAGAAATAAGGGAGTCATTCAATTAACCTCATGAGTCAAGGAGCTGGTAAAGGACTTAAAGTGAAGCCCAACAAGTTCAAGAAGAAGAAAGCACCTGCTAAAGCTCCACAGGATGCTAAGAAGGAACATAAGGTAGATACGCGTCGTTTCTGTAACAAGGAAGGACACTATCAGAAAGATTACCTGAAACGTAAAGCTGGGTTCGAAAATAAAGGTATAATTAGTGCTTTTGTATGTTTCGAATCAAATTTAATAGAAGTTCTTAATAATACTTGATGGCTTGATTCTGGTGCAACTGCTCATGTATCTACTACGTTGCAGTGATTCCTTACGATCCAAACTACAAATCCAAATAAGGGTTTCTTGTTTATGGAAAATCGTATGAAGGCTACAATTGAAGGCATAGGGACTTATCCTTTGATCATGGAGACTGGACGTCACCTTGATCTATTACAGACTCTTTATGTACCTTCAGTTTTTAGGAATTTGATTTTTCTTTCAAGACTTGATGTTTCTGGATTTGATTTAAAGTTTGGAAATGGATGTTTCAATTTATATAAGAATGCTATTTTTATGGTTCTGGTTTTCTTAGTGATGGTTTATATAAGTTGAAACTCGATATTGATTTTTCTAATTCCCTTCTTATTGTTCAACATAATGTTAGAACTAAACGTAGTTCACTAGATGAAAGTTCTTCTTATTTGTGGCATAGGCGTTTGGGTCATATATCCAAATAAAAGGTTAGAAAGATTTGTAAAGAATGAGATTCTTCCGAATCTAAATTTTATTGATCTTACTATATGTTTGGATTGCATTAAGGGAAAGCAGACCAAGCATAGTAATAAAGGTGCCACAAGAAGCACCCAGCTTCTTGAAATAATACACACCGATATTTGTGGACCCTTTGATGTTTCATCTTTTGGTGGAGAGAAATATTTTATCACTTTTATCGATGATTTTTCACGTTATGGATACATCTATTTGCTGAAAGAAAAATCTCAAGCAACATATATCCTCAAGGTGTTTGTTAATGAGGTTGAAAGGCAATTAGATAAAAAGGTGAAAATCATTAGGTCAGTAAAGGTGGTGCATATTATGGAAAATATAAATGAATCAGGACAATGTCCAGGTCCATTTGCAAAGTTCCTCGAGGAACATGGCATATGTGCACAGTATACTATGCCAGGAACACCTCAACAAAATGGTGTTGCAGAAAGTCGTAATCGAACACTTATGGATATGGTTAGGAGCATGATGAGTAATTCCTCATTACCCAAATCATTGTGGATGTATGCTCTTAAAACCGTTGTATATTTATTAAACAAGGTTCCTAGTAAGGCAGTTCCAAAGACTCCTTTTGAACTGTGGACAGGAAGGAAACCTAGTTTAAGGCACCTGCATGTTTGGGTTTGCCCAACGGAAGCCAGAGTTTATAATCCACAAGAAAAGAAATTAGATTCACGAACAGTAAGTGGTTACTTTATTGGTTACCCAGAGAAATCTAAAGGGTATGTGTTTTACTGTCCAAACCATAGTTCGAAAATTATTGAAACGGTAATGCAAGATTGAGAAGGGTGAAGTTAGTGGGAGTATTGAAAAGCAAAGTGTGAAAATAAAAGAGGTGAGGGTCAATATTCTATTACCCAGAAATGTTCCTACTTCCACACAAATACCAAATATTGTTCCAGTTGTTGAAGAATACTTTGACAACACCGAGCAACATTTGGATGAAACACTTCGTGAAGAAACTAACTCACAAATATCTGACACAAATGAGCCACAAGAAATGCCATTAAGAAAATCTCAAAGAGTTAGAAAATTGGCTATTTCGGATGATTACGTGGTTTATTTACAATAGTCAGATTTTGATATTGGTCTTAATAAGGATCCGGTTTCATGTTCACAAGACATAGAAAGTGATGAGTTTGACAAATGGATTGATGCCATGAAGGAAGATTTAAAATCCATGGAATACAATAAAGTCTGGGATCTTGTTGAATTGCCAGAAAGTTCTAAAAGAATCGGGTGTAGATGGGTCATTAAGACCAAACGCGATTCAAATGGCAATATTGAACGATACAAAGCCACACTTTTTGCCAAGGGTTATACGCAGAAAGGAGGCATTGATTATAAAGAGACCTTTTCACCGGTCTCAAAGAAAGACTTGTTGAGAATTATTATAGCTTTGGTGGCTCATTATGATTTAGAGTTACACAAAATGGATGTGAAAACTGCCTTTCTTAATGGAGATCTCGAGGAGGAAGTTTATATGACCAACCAGAGGGTTTCGAAACTAAAGAAAAATGTCAAATGGTATGTAAACTGAAGAAGTCAATATATGGACTTAAACAAGCCTCACGACAATGGTATATAAAATTTAATGATACCATAACATCATTTGGATTTGTGGAAAATACAGTTGATCGGTGTATATACCAAAAGATCAATAGGAGCAAGTTTATATTTTTAGTCCTATATATTGATGATATCCTACTTGCTACTAATGATTTAGGCATATTGCGGGAGACTAAAGATTTTCTTTCTAAGAATTTTGAAATGAAAGATATGGGTGAGGCATCCTATGTGATAGGAATAAAAATATTCCGTGATAGATCACAAGGATTATTGGGATTGTCTCAGAAATGCTATATTGAAAGATGTTAGTTTGTATGGGTCCACCAAATCGTAGAGTACCTGGTCCTCTACAAGGTTCTACTAAGAGTACTTAATAAAACAGTATGTAAATGAGGCAGAGGATTTTTACGTGGAAAAATCCCACACAGGGGGATCAAAAAACCACAACCTACACCTATAGGCTTTTAACTTCACTAACTTGTAATCTACCTATTACAAGACACTTTACAATACTTCCTATCTGGGAGAGAAAGGCTGAGAAGGCAAGTGAATTTCTGGCTCTTGACCTGGTTTGTACTCCAGAATCTAGAGGAGTGATGATGTTGTCTATAGGGTGAGAGCTTTGGCGTCTCCAGTTAGATGCCTGAGGTTCATTCTGAGAGGAGGAAGGTACGTTTGGCTGATTTTCCTCTATCCTTCTTTCAGGTGCTAGTGGAGTTCCCTGAACTGCATCAACCACCCTTTCTTCAGCTTCTGTGGTTGTGATTGAGGTGCTTGGTTCTGTTGATGATGAGGCGGCATTCTCTTCATTTGGCTCTTTTACTTGACTCATCATATCTGCCTTTCCGTTTGTCATGTGAATAACTTCACCAGGAACGAGTAAGAGTTCTCCATCTTGATCTTCCTCAGCACTCTTCTCAGATGATGGATAAGATTCATCAAAGATAACACGGACACTCTCCTCAACACATTGAGTCCGCTTGTTATATATCTTGTAAGCCTTGCTTTGAGAAGAGTACCCAAGAAATATTCCTTCGTCACTCTTGGCATCGAATTTACCAAGCTGATCCTTTCCATGGTTGAGAACATAACATTTGCATCCAAATGTTCTTAGATGAGTCAGCTTGGGTTTTCTTCCATTCAACAATTCATAAGGGGTCTTATTCAGAAGTGATCTGATCATGCACCTGTTCACTAAATAGCAGGCAGTGTTGATAGCTTCAACCCAGAAATTCTTTGCAATTCCACTGTCAATCAGCATTGTTCTTGCCATTTCTTCCAGAGTTCTGTTCTTCCTTTCTACTACTCCATTTTGCTGGGGAGTTCTGGGAGCTGAGAAGTTGTGAGTGATGCCATTTTCATTACAGAATTCATCAAATTTGACATTGTCAAATTCTGTCCCATGATCTGATCTAATGCATACGACTCTAGACTCCATCTTCACCTAGATTTTCTTCACAAAGGCCACAAATACTTCAATAGTTTCATCTTTTGTTCTGAGAAACAGAGTCCATGTGAATCTGGAATAGTCATCCACGATTACAAAAATGTATCTCTTTCCTCCTCTGCTTTGCACCCTCATAGGTCCACACAAATCCATATGCAGGAGCTCAAGCGGCTTTGAGGTGCTTACATCTCTTTTAGACTTAAAGGAGGACTTCATATGTTTTCCTCTAGCACAGGCATCACAGACTTTTTGAATCTTGAGTTGTGACATAGGCAGACCATGGACCAGGTCCTTCTGAATTAGTTTGTTTAGAAGGGAAAAGCTTGCATGGCCCGGTCTTCTGTGCCATAGTTCAGCATCATCGTCAACCGCTTTCAGACAACTCAAATCACCACTCTGTAAAGATTCGTAATCAGCAACATAGATGTTCTTGTATCTTTTGGCCACCGGTACTATTTCACCGGTCACAAGGTCGGTGACTGTACATATTTTGGACAAGAATTCCACCTTGTTTCCTTTATCACAGATTTGAGAAACACTCAGGAGACTGTACTTAAGCCCATTGACATAGTATACATTTTCAATAGAATGAGTGAGTGACTTCCCAACTTTTCCAACTCCAAGAATATACCCCTTTTTTCCATTGCCAAAGGATACACTCCCTCCTTGCAGGGCTTTTAGTGAAAG